AATATAATATATATATATATATATTATATATAAAGTTATTATAAGTTACTCACGTTTAGTTAATTCAATTTCTTAATAAAAACAATAAACAAAATTTTCATCGTTTCTGTTATATTAGCTGGATTATTTTGAATGTTTGATACTTGTCCCAATTGGCGTACATGTTTTTCGTCATAAGGAGAATAAAATTCCAGTAAAATTATCGTACTATATGCTAAAATACATTTCTAGTGAGAAAAAAAAACAAAACAATTTTGTTAACAAAACCAAAATATACGGTATTTATGCAGTTCCTAAGGTAACGGTTTCAGTTTAAATGGGAACAGCTTACCTGAAATTCTGGTTTTCAAAATTATCGTTCTTATTACCACACAGTTAGTAAAAGTACAAAACTGAAAAGTACACTTGTCTGAATAAATTGTTTTAATACAATGTTTTAAGGTATCATGATAAAATTACTCAAGTTCAGCACATTTTGCAAAATTTACTACACATCATAAGACCATATTTTATTGTTTATTTTACAAAAATCATTACCAAAGTGTTCTGGAAAGATTGCTGAGTTATTATTATTATAACTCTGGTGTTCTCATAGACCCAGAAACATAGTAAATTTTGACATACTCTGGTAGTTTTGTCCAGTCTTTTTTTCTCATCTACATTAACAATTCATAATAACATTAACAACTTAAGTCATACAAGCAATTCTTTATCAGAAAAAGCAACGATTGATTTGTCTTTTTTTTTTAACTTTGTTTATTCCTTCAGCCTTCATATTTCAAAATGTGAAGTACCATTACCAAATTGCCTCGATAAACATCACATAGTTTTTTTGGTGTTAAGAAACACGGTAAATTTTGCCGTACTCAAGGTAGTTTTGACATTTTTTTTCTGAGTGTAGTCATAATAACATTAACTTTAGTCATACAAACATCTCCTAATTAAAATAGCAGAGATAGTTTTGCCTTTTTAACTCTGTTCCATTCCTTCATCCTTAAAAATGAGAAGATTTGTAGTAAATAAAAACTTATTTTACATTTTCTTTCAGGAATTCCACCACGCTAAACCGTACCATTTCGGTTATGTTGCTAAAGGTCCTGGTGGCGAGTCTCATCATGGAGAATCGGGGGTAGGCGGAAAAGCCGTTCGTGGCAGTTACGGTTACACGGATGCCAATGGTATGTACAGAGAAGTTAAATATGTTGCAGATCACGGGGGCTTCAGACCCGAAATCAAAACTAATGAACCAGGAACTGTGTCCAAAGATTCTGCACACGTCAAAATGCACTCATCAGCACATCCTTATTTCGGAGTTGGAATGCATGGTGACAGTTGGCACGGATACGGGGGTAGTCACCATGGTGGGGAGCATCATGCTCCATATGGATACAGTAAACTGTGGTAGTGAGGAAACCAGGCTTTAGATATATGACGCAGTAATTATATCGGTATGTATTTAAAGATATGGATACACCCTGTCAGAAATTATGGAACAAATTACAGTTTAAAGCACCGGCACTTTAGGTACATCAACCATAAAATCCCTTCTACCCGTGAAATATTATACCATAATTTTTGCAGAAATATTTATTTAAGGGCAGTGATTCAGTGATTTTGCAGTAATTTTTACGGTAAAAATTACGGTAAACCATAATTTTTGTTCCATAACATGTTCCATTAAAATGTTTATGGTGAAAAGCACCGGACATAATGAAAGTACATACAATTAAAATTGCCGGTACATACAATTAAAACTGCAGGTACGTTTAAATACAGTAATAGTAACATTTTGCAGTAATTATTACTGTAAAAATTAGGATATATCAGATTTTTTTTCCGTAAAACGTTTCGGTACAAATAGATTTTATGGTGAAAAGTACCGGCTTCTTGAGAGCCGATATTATTTATCGTAATTTGATTGGTGTTTTTTACAGATGAAATAATAAAAGTAATGCTAGGATGTAATAATAATAATAATAAAAGTGCAAGAAATAATAGAAGTGTAAGAAATAATAAAAGTGTAAGAAATAATAAAAGTAAGAAACACATGTAAAATTTGGTGACATTCTTGATAGGCAACTCAGCAGCTGAATTTAAATCACTAATTACATTTTACTCACTCTGTCATATTTTTTAATTTTCTTTTCTTATTTTTCCTTTTCATTTAGTGATTATTGATTTTAAAAATATTTTGACAGCTGTGTTCTCAAAGTAGTTATGCTTGGTTTTCAAGAATTTATTGTATTTTCCGATTTAGACAACAAATATAAAGGTAAAAATTATAAGGTTTCGATTTACACAACAATGTAAGTACATTAAAAAATTAATATGATAACTGGTATTCGAAAATTTTGGATTCTTTGATTTGGATAGTAAACTGTAAGAATACTTTATTCCATTGTGGTTTCCTTTCAAATTGAACCAAAATATCGTGTAGTCAGTTATAAGAAGAATGATAATATGGTTTGGTTCAACTTCACTGCATCATATTAAGTTTGCATCAACTTTAACCGTTATTATGGTTTAACAAGTAATAAATTTCTAACCATTCTCCCAGAGCAGACTCTGTCTTAGGCCATTGTATCTGTGACTTAGAGTAGACTATAGTTTTCTAGAGTTATTAGAGTTTCCTCCATATAGATTACGTAACGGTTTAATTTTGTTATTGTAGTTCATAGTTACTCCAGATATATTTGTTTTCTTCAGCTATTTATAAATAATTTTCATATTCAACATATTTTTTTAGGAAAACTCAGAAAAATATACGGCGATGAAATGGATGAATGCTGCTTCACTCGCACTTAAAAAATGTACATCTGCTCTGAATGTAAACGTGGTCACTGTGGTTTCATTAATTATAAATGTGATTTTATAAATGCTATGTTGAATGAATGATGTTACAGCAGTAAATGCAAACTTTGGTGATGCGTACACAATCTTCGTTTTGTGTGTTTGCTTTCGTTTTAAATTATTTTTCGCAGCTTTATTTGATTCAATCTTACGATACTGTATACTGCTTGTAAATAAATAAAAGAAATGCTTTGTTCACAAATAAATTATTCTTTTAATTCAATTTAATACAACACCAACATTTTAAATGTAGAATGATGGATAAAATAATAGGAGGATATATCCATGTTAGACTTTCAACATATAAGAATAGTTTTCTGGTTGTTCCATAACTATTGTGTGTAATATATATCCTTTTAAATCTTGTTAAAAATTTGAATAAGATATTAGGCAGCTATAGATAAGTTTCCATGCAGCATTAAATTTTCTTTAAAAAAAAAGACTTAAAACTCTGACTTATTGTTGATGTTGGAAAGTGCAAGGGAGATAGCTTATTTTGTTTAGTTGTCCAGTCAAATGCAATGTAGACACTATTTAATAAAGAATCATCAAAAAAGTCTCAAAAAATAGATTTTTGATGATTGATTTTAATGATTCATTTGCTTTTATTAATCTCAATAGTGATTGATCAACTCCTTAGAGCATTTTTGTCATATCTCACTAAGATATTACTTTGTGGTCACTAATGGGCTTTGTTTTTTTACCTCCTTTTTACAAGGATTTAAAAATATAAACGTAAGATCGGTTTTTATCGAGAATATTTTAATCATTTTAATAGAATTTATGAGGTAAATACTATATACGGGGTGATAAAGAGCTAAGAAGCACAAAACCTCATCGTTTAGTTTGAAGAGCTACCAAAACTTATTCACGTTCTAGGAATGCATTGCTTTTTTCATGGAATCAAGCAGATAAAATGAAATAATTTAGCCCTTCAGCCATTTAGCTATATAAAATGCGCAAATTTCTCTCATTACAGCATCAGCTATCTTTTTCTTTTTTAAAATTATTTGAAATTCAAATTCTATTTTCCTTCGTTTTAATATGCATAACTCCTAATACTTTGCAAGCTTAGAAATCAATTTCAGAAATTTGTCCCTATTAGTTTTATATATCCCTATTTATATATATATATATATATATA